CTGGGGTCTTGGGATCGAGCCCCACGTCCGGCTCCCTGCTCGGCGGAAAGCCTGCTTCTCCCTCTCCCTCTGCCTGCCACTCTGCCTACTTGTGTTCTCTCTATCAAATAAATAAATAAAATCTTTAAAAAAAAAAGAATAGTGGTTTTCTTTTCTTTTTTTTTTTTTTAAGATTTTATTTATTTATATTCATGAGAGACAGAAAGAGGCAGAGGGAGAAGCAGGCTCAGAGACCCCCCCGCCCCCGACCCAGGGCTGGATTCCAGGACCCCGGGATCATGACCTGAGCCAAAGGCAGTTGCTTAACAACTGAAGCCACCCAGGCGCCTAGAACAGTGGTTTTCAACTGGATATTGGTGAGATAGATTTGTGGTGGAGTTTGCTGTCCATGGAAATTTGGCAATGTGTAAAGAGGTTTGTTACAGCTGGGAGAAGGAATGGTACAACGTTATTGAGTAGAGGCCAGCGTTGCTGCTGCTAAACATGCTACAGGGCACAAGACGGTCCCCACAACAAAGAATTATCCAGCCAACAAAGAATGTCAGTAGTGCTGAGTTTGAGAAACCTTGGATTTGCAGGTTTTGCTGCTGGCAGGAAACATTCTTGTAGTCTTTAGGGCTACTGTTTATGGGTTCTCTCTGCTCTAGGAGGGGAATGTTTTAGCATCAAATGTCAATAGAGGCTGATTCTGCCAAATGTAATACAGACCTAGTAAATAGCTCAACACGTATCTTCCCATTTTGAGAAACACCATGTGTTTGTTTATACAAAATGCTTATAAAATTATTTTTGTGTATTGGGTATTCTTGAAAATGACTCATTCAGTGTCAGACCTGGTTATTGTTGAGATTTGGCCATACTGTGTGTATTGAAGATCTGCATTTAGCTGCATGAGAAAGAAAATCAGGCAGTAGCTGACTTAACAAATAGAGGCTGATTTTTCTCCTACAGTGACAGTTCTGGAGATAGGAGTCCAGAGTTGTTACTATGGCTCCCTGATGTCCTCAGTGACCCGGTTTCCTCTATTTCTGCTTAGCCTTCCTTAGAATGTGCTTTTTAGGGCGCCTGGGTGGCTCAGTTGGTTAAGCGACTGCCTTCGGCTCAGGTCATGATCCTGGAGTCCCAGGATCGAGTCCCGCATCGGGCTCCCTGCTCGGCAGGGAGCCTGCTTCTCCCTCTGACCCTCCTCCCTCTCATGTGCTTTCTGTCTCTCTCATTCTCTCTGTCTCAAATAAATAAATAAAATATTTAAAAAAAAAAAAAAAAAAAGAATGTGCTTTTTACCTTGTTGGCACGGGATATCTCCTCCCCATTCCCACCCCTCACCCGCAACATCAAAACTTGTACCCAGGGCAGGCAGAAGTGAGAAGGACAGAGATCACCAGAGCCAGCCCTTTTGATAAAAGCTTTCCTGAAACCCCATGCAGTGATTTCTGCTTCTTCTCATTGGCTTGAACTGTGTCCCATGACTGTTCTTACTTGTACGGGAGGCTGGGAAATACAGGATTTTAGTTGAGTTAACTGTAAGTTAGAAAGTAATAATTAGAAACTTTGAGTAAGGAAGAATGGATATTAGGATAGGCAACTAGTACGTACCTCTGGAGCCGCTTTTTAAAGTATTGGGGATTCTTTGTTGAGCTTGACTCTAGTCTGGCGCAGTGAAGGAAAAAAAGGTATTGGGGGTTCTGGTCTTCCTAAATGCACTGAAATGAAAGAAACATAAAGAGGAACAAACATTAGAAATTTGAGAGAATGGACTCTTACAGAGTTATGTGGGGTTTTTTTTAATTGAGAAAATAGAATGTATTTGTTATGAATGTATTTCTTAATCCCAAGAACTTGGCTGTTTTATGGTGTTTTGGAAATTAAAATCTCTTCCCTAACCCTATACTTGGGATGCTCCACCCAATTTAATTTTTTTTTTTTTGCAACATCAGTAATGACTTGTTATAGTGAACACAAATAAGTATTTCTGTAGGCTAAAAATTGGAATCAGCAACTGAGAGATGGACTTAAGTGTGAAAAATAAGTGTATATGCATAACACAAGCATTGAAGAAGGGCTAATGTAATAGAACGACCCTCTTTGCCCATTAAAAAAATTATTTTTATTGGACTTTTTTATATAATCTGGATAGCAATCCCTTATCAGATACTATTTTCTCCCATTCTGTGGGTTGCAACAACTTTTCAATGTGATTTTAAAACTATATAGCATTAGGACTGATATTATACTAGTATTTATTAGAATTTTAGCTAGTTTATTTTAAAGTAATATATGAATATATGGTTTGAAATCCCAGTAGCACAAAAAGTGTCCAATAAAATAGGAGTTAAAAGGACAGGTTACTTTGGAAAGAAGGAGAGAGGGGTGGGGTAGGGAAAGCCTTTAGCTATATCTGATGGGTACAGCTTTATAATTTGGTATCTGTATACAAGACAAAGTGATCACCACCACAAGGCTAGTTACCATCCATCACCATGCAGTTGGCCTCCTTCACCTCCATATATCAATTTGATATATAATATAATGGCCTCATTTCATCCACCCCCGAACCACTAGTTTGTTGTCTGTATCTATGAGGTTTGATTTTGTTTGTTGTTTTGGATTTCACATATGTGCGAATCATGCAGTGTTTGTCTTTCTCCAGTGATTTATTTCATTTAGCATACTTCAGGGTCCACCCATGCTGTAATAAATGACAAGGTTTCATTCTTGTTTATGGCTGAGTAGTACTCCATTGTTTTAATTATGTGTGAGAGTATGTGTGTGTGTGTGTGTGTGTGTGTATCACATCTTCTTTATCCTTTCATCTATAAATGGACACTTAAGTTGTTTCCACATCTTGGCTATTATAAATAATGCTGCAGTGATGTGTTTTATTCCTTTCCTAAAAAAAGAGATTTGGGGGCACCTGGGTGGCTCAGTTGGTTGAGCATCTGACTCTTGATTTCTGCTCAGGTCATGATCTCAGGGTCATGGGATTGAGCCCCATGAAGTCTCCATGCTTAATGTGGAGTCTGCTTGAGATTCTCTCTCTCCCTCTCCCACTTCCCTCACTTGAGCGTGCACTCTCTCTTTCTAAAATAAATAAATTTAAAAAAATAAAAGATTTGAAGTGGGTATTCAGAAGTGGCAGTAAGTGTTTAATCTAACTGATGGTAACATGAGTGATATTATCTGTATTTTTCTGTTAGAAATATTTCATAATGAAAACAAATTTTTAGTTACATAAATCTGTACCCTTCCCTAGATGTTCAGCCTTCCCCCCAAAAGTTACTAATTTCTCATCTCCTTCTAGAATTATTCACTGTATTCTAGGCATATTTATGTTTGAGTGGATTGTTCCCTCCCCACCATGAGTGCATATTCTTTTGTACTTTTTTTCACTATGCAGTGAAATTGTTCATTTCATTGTTTCTTTGAAATTTTTTCATATCACTATATGTAGCACTTGTCCTTTTTCCTTGTTCCCATGTATCCTACTGCACTGGTGCCTTATAATTTATCTCACCAGTTCACTCAGATTCTTGCTAATTTTTCACTCTTATGTACAGTGAACATCCTTGTGCATAAATCTTTGCACACAGGTGTGTGGCTACATGATATAAATTCCTTGAGGATAAAATTGGTGGGTCAGATTTCTGATCTTACTAAATTGTTCTCAAACATTGTATCTGTTTATATTCTGCAGTAATATATGAGAATACTATCATCTGCATAGTGTTAGTAGAATTTTTATTCTTGCCAATTTGTTTTCTCCACACTTGATACAGAAAAGCTATTAACAGAAAACTGTTTTAGTATTCTTTTATTTTGTAATTTAAAAAAAAAATTTCCTAACTTGAAAAAAAATAAAAAAATAAAAAAATAAATTTATTTGAGAGAGAATGTGTGCTAGTGAGAGAGAGCGCACGCCAGAGAGAGAGAGAGAGAGAGAGCACAGGCGGGGGGAGGGGCAGAGGGAGAAGCAGGCTCCCCACTGAGCAGGGAACCCAATGTGGGACTGGATCCCAGGACTTTGGGATCATGACCTGAGCCGAAGGCAGACGCTTAACCAACTGAGCCACCCAGGTCCTTTAGTAGTAGTTTAAATTAAAGAAGCATCTATGTTTTTAAGTTAAATTGACCTCTAATTTTCTATTTTTGTATGTTTCATTCAGTTTTAGTATCAAAGTTATGCAGCCTCCTATATTAATTTGGACAGAAATATTACCTTTCAGTTTCAAATACTTTTCCATGAAAGCATATGATAACAAATGTAATGAGCTGAAAAGATGAAAAAGTGTCAACTATTCCCACACATTAATTATATTAAGGTTTTAAATGTTAAGTAATAAATTTTATATGTAAAATTAAACACATTCAGGTCTAGGCTTAGTGTGGCCATATCCTCATGGAATTTCTTCTACGGTGGAACACAGAGAGCTGTAAGGGTCCTAAAATGAGCTTCTGGCCTAGTGGTGGTTGCTAAGCATTTATGGTTCTAGAAATAAAATTTGAGGATATTTCTGGACTCAAAGTAACAGCAATATGGGAAACTCCAAAATAGAGGTAGATGTTATTGAGAGTTTTGTGAGAAATCTGAATATGATGTGGTTAGCCTTAGATACCTCCATTGCATTAGTTCTGTGTTACATAAAATGTTTAAGGTTGCTTATAGGGGTTGAATATTGCATGGCAACATACAAATACATCCAGAGCAGAGACTTTGTGCCTGAAGGACCTTGTTCAGTCCTGAGGTCTGCCACTTACTAGCATTATGACCTTTGGCAGATTGTTTAATCTCTCAAAGCCTATCATCCCTCACATACAAAACAGGGATGATAGTTTTTCCTATTGGTGTTGTAAGAATTGAATGAGATAATGTAGACAATGAGCTTTGTGTTGTACTTGGCATTTCATCAGTGCTTGATGTTACTTTATACTGGCTGGGAAAGTATCTGTTTTGCTATATACAATTTAAGAGGAATATTAAAATATATTTTTGTTATTTTAAGGAAATTCGCAATGAGTCCCATGACTATCCTCATAGAGTGGCCAAGTTTCCAGAAAACAGAAATCGAAACAGATACAGAGATGTAAGCCCATGTAAGTACTTCGGGTTTGTGGGCATGTGTGTGTTTGTTGGTTTGTTTTAGGAGGCAGAATACAATGAAAAGAAGGTTGGGGATCAGGGTTGATAAGTACAGTGGTTTTCTTCATATTAACATAATACACGTTCTTTAAAGAAAAATTTCAAGGCACAGAATAGTTGAAGGAAGGAAAATTGCTCATAATTATTGCATCCTTCAAACACAGCCACTGTTATTTTGGTGTATTTCCTACTAACTTTTTTTCTTATGCATAATTTTCTTTCTTTAAAATTAATTGTAATCATATTTATGTGTTATATGTATTCGTATATGTATATTTTCATATTATTCCGTAACCTTTTAAATATTAAAATATTTATCAGTGTAATTTGCTTTTTTTCCTCAAATTATAAAAGTAGTACATACTCACTGTAGAAAACTTTTAAAACAGAAATGTGTAAAGGAAAAAACCCTATGATTTAAAAACAGAAACTTTCGGGGTTATATTCTTTTTGTATTTTTCCTGAATAAACATACACACATTATTTATTTTTATTTTTTTAATTATTTATTTGAGAGCGAGCATGAGTGCACATACAAGCAGGGGGAATGTAGGGAGAGGGAGACGGTCTCAAGCAAACTCCATGCTGAGTGCCGAGCCTGACCGTGGGGCTCGATCTCTGGATCCTAAGATCATGACCTGTGCTGAAACCAAGAGTCAACCAAGAGTCAGATGCTTAACTGACTGAGCCCCCAGACGCGCCTATACACATTCTTTTAAATTTAAAATTAGAATCCTTCACATGTTAATTGTAGCTCTTTTCCCACCTCACAATACATTGTAAGCATTTTCCTATCATAAGTCTTTTAGTGGCTTTGATAGAGGCTTTGGATATGCCATTCTTTTATGTAACAGATCCTTGTGGTTGAACATTTGGATACTGATGTACACACTCATTTATATACACAACTCTGTGAATAGTTGTCATACCACTGTTTTAAAAATGTGTTTATCCTGAGGTGATTTTATTTTGTGTTCTGATTGATACCATTTGGTCAAATACTAAATGAAGCTGCCTTACTATTCTACGGTGTTATCCCATATTTGATTTTAGTGGGCACAGGTATTTTCTTTAGGGCTGCTTGTTAGTAGGGATGTTAAAAAAAATCTGAATCTATCACATTTTGGTTCCTGCTTGTTTGTGGTTCTTTCCTCTAGTTGACAAGGGTATGGTGCTGGTGTGCTGAGGCCTCCTGTGTAGGCTGAATAATCTCACTCTACCCAGGGCTAAGATTTTATACCCTTATATACGTTGTACTCCTTCTTAGGAGGGTATGAATATGCCACTGAAAATCTAACTACTGGGGAAAAGGTCCATACTTTCTTTCTTAAAGGAACAGAACATTCTTCTTTCTGTTGACCAAGTACATTTCCATGAAAAGTGTATTGGCTGATTTTGGACAAATCAAATGAGAAGTAATCTCTTAAAATATTTCATGTTTATTATAAATTACTTATTAAATATTATGTTTCTCTTACATGTTTTCCTTACCAATTAATAGTGTTTGTAAAGATAAGTCTACAGCAGAGAGTGGTTTTCTGTTCTTCACTTGCAGACACTTGAAGATATGACAAACTTCCAATGAAACCTGACTCACCATGGCAACAATTCTGGTGTTGGTGTGTGTGCAGGGAATGGGGGTATGGGCAGTGGTTCTAACATTTAGGTGCCCCTTCACCCTTTCCATATTTCTGTTGAGTATCATTGAGCTAGAACACTAATCTTTAGTGTTTAGCATGAGTTTTGAAGATGGTGTGTCCCAGTTGTACACCTTGCTTTGTTGCCTCTAATTTAAAAAAAAAACCAAAAACCAAAAACCCAGGCTTCTTATTTTGATAATTGTAGCTATGTATGCAGTTGTGAGAAATAGCACTCAGAGATTCTGCATACCCTTCCCCTGGTTTTCCCCAGTGGTAACATCTTGGCATAATTGCAACCAGGAAATGGACATGGTTATGATCCATCCAGATCTCCTCAGTGTTACTTGCACTAATTTGTGGCTCTGTTCAGTTCGGCTCAGCTCTGTTACATGGTAGAGTATGGGGTCTCCACCCCAGTCTGGGTACAGACCAATGGAACAGCTCCACCTTAAGATCCCTCCCTGCCTTACAGTTCTGGATCTCTTCAACTCTCAACTTGAAATCTTAAATGCTGCTACCTTGAGGGCTACTTTCTGTCTTCCCAGCCCTTTGACTTCATCAGGATCTTTAGTTTGTTGACTTTTTCATTTATTATAGTACATTACTTCCTTCCCCACCCTACTTAGTATTTAATGACTTTCTTGCTGTTCTAATATGTTAGAAAGATAATCTCTGGCTCTTTAATTCTACCTACCCTGTGAAACCTAGCGCCAGATAGTCGTTCAGCTTCTGTGACCTTTGGGCTCATTGTGCCTTGGGTGGGCTCGGGCACTGGCTGGGCCTGGGGTGCCCCGCTGTCCTCCTCCGTGCCCTTCGTCACTCCCACTGCCCCTCTGCTCTGGCTTGTCCCAAAGGAAACCGGCTCTTTCACACACTCCCACGCCCACCGCTCACAGAATGTGATCTGCCTTCAATTCTGCAGAGAAACATTTTAAAAATCCAGAAATAACTCTTCAACTTCATGTTCTACCACCCAGAAACTTATTTCTGTCTTCACTCACCTTTTCCTGAAGCCCCAGGAAATAAAGCCTTCCCCCTCCTGTCCTAGGTTTGTATCCTGATGCTTCATTCCTCCCCAGGGACCTCATTCGCTGTCATAACCACTCTTACTCCTGTCTTCAACCTCTTTCCAGTAGCTCCTTTCCCTTATTATGTAAATGTGCTTCAGCCTCTTCTCATCTCAACCATCTTATCACATCTCAGCTCCACTTCTCTGTTACTTGTGTGGACATGAGCACGTGCACACGTTTGCACAGAGTCTCAGAAAAAAGACACCGTATTATTTGTCTCTCCATCCTCATCACCTGTGCATTCTTCAGCCCATGGTTCTGCCCTAGCCTCCCCACTGAAACTTTTATTATCAAGTACTGTTTTCAAGCTTTCTAGTTTTCACATGCAATGAGGAACTTTCCATTGGTTTCTTTTCTTATCTCTCTGACTTTTGACATTGTTGACTCTTCCTTCCTTCCCTAACACCATATTTTTTCTATTTTGCTATTATGCCTCTGGCTGGTCAGGCATTTTCAGAGTTTTTCTTCCTCAGTTGACTATCTTCTTCAGGGTTCTGTCTCCCCCTCCTTCTCACTCTGACACTTCTTTGAATGATCTCATCTTCTGTGGGTTTGGTTACCATGTGCTTGTCACCCTAAATCTCATCTGTAGCCTCGGTCTCTCTTAGCTATAGACCCATTTATGCAAGGCACTCATCTCTGTGTGGATGTCCTGTAAATGCCTCAGTCTCAGAATGTCTAGATACTGATCTAGCATTCCTCCCCACACAGTCCATCGGTCCCAACCCTGAGACCTGTGTTTTCTGCTGTTTTCCCCATATTAATAAATGGTACTACTATTGATACATATGCTGCAGCTAGAAACTCAGACTCCTCTCCGATTCAGCTCCCATATCTACTTGATAACTAAATAATTACAATTCCATTTCCACAATTTTTTTTTTTTTTAATTTTTTTTGGGAGAGAGAGAGAGAGCATGCATGTGCACTGGGGGGGTGGGGGGGGAGGGTGGCAGGGAGCAGAGGGAGAGGGGGAGAGAGAGAGAATCCCAAGCAGGCTCCATGCCTGGCATGGAGCCCAGTGCAGGGCTCAATCTCACAACCCTAAAATCATGACCTGAGCCAAAATCAAGAGTCAAATGCTCAAGCGACTGAGCCACCCAGACGCCCCCACAATGTGTTTTAAATCTCTTCTTCACTGTTTGTACTAGCTTGGTTCCAGCCCTTGCTCTTCCTTTTCTGGATTATTACAATAAACTCTTGTCTCCTTGTCTCTGTTCTGTTCCCGTTTCAGTCCATTCTCCATGCAGTATCCAGGATAATCTTTGTAAAATGCATGTCTGTTTTCCAGTCTCCGGTAGCATTCCACAAGTTTTATGAGAAATTAGTTTTGTAGCATTATCATACAAGACCTTTTGGAGACCCACCCTTCACATACCTCCAGATTTTTTCTAGCCATTTTCTCACAAATTTATTATTATTAAAGATTTTATTTATTTGTCAGAGAGAGAGAGAGCACAAGCAGGGGAAGGGGCAGGCAGAGGGAGCAGCAGGCTTCCCGCTGAGCAGGGAGCCCGATGCGGGACTCGATCCCAGGACCCTGGGATCATGACCTGAGCTGAAGGCAGACGCTTAACCGACTGAGCCACCCAGGTGCCCTACTCAAAATTATTGATTTTGGTAAAACTGAAACAGAGTTTTCCCAATGTGACCAGTTTCTAAGGTTTTTTTTTTTTTTTAGATTTTATTTTTATTTTTTTTATTTTTTTATTTTTTAAGATTTTATTTATTTATTTGAGAGAGAGAATGAGAGACAGAGAGCATGAGAGGGAGGAGGGTCAGAGGGAGAAGCAGACTCCCTGCCGAGCAGGGAGCCCGATGCGGGACTCGATCCCGGGACTCCAGGATCATGACCTGAGCCGAAGGCAGTCGCTTAACCGACTGAGCCACCCAGGCGCCCTAGATTTTATTTTTAAGTAATCTCTACACCCAGTATGGGGCTTGATTGAACTCACAACCCGGAGATCAAGCATCACATGCTCTACCGACTGAGGCAGCCAGGCACCCCCCAGTGTGACCAGTTACTAATAACTCAGTGTCTGAATATATCATTCCCTTTTTGGAACATCTTCCTCTTTCTGACCCACATTAGTCAAAATCCTGTTCTTCCAAATATCTTCCCCACTACTTCCCCTTGGGTGTTATTCTCACACAGTGGAGGAGGTCATGGAGGTGAGGACTCTCACTAAATATAGACGGGCCCAGGAATGTGTATTTTAAAACACTCCCTGGATTATGCAGATAT